ACGAACTCTAACGGTTCGAGAAAACACTCGCAAAAATGAGACCATAAATGCGAGTATCGCAGTCTGTGGTGCGACACTACGGACCGTTTCTTCTTTCTTAAGAAAGAGAGAGAAAAAAAACAGCATCAAAAGACCGTTAAAAAAAAAAGGGCTACCGTGCGTATTCCAGTCGTTTGCATTTGCATCCCCTGTTTGCTTTAGCTGCGTTTTTAAGCACCTAGCACGGCAGAACGGGGAACATTCGCACGGATCGTGCGTCGGGGGCCGAGTTCCGTACCTAACACCACGAGTGGAACGAACGAACGATGCGACGTCGTCGCCGACGATGGGAATCGAGGGGAATACCCTCACCTTTCGACCGACGCGTAGAAAGGGATTCTCGTCGCCGGAATGCCCTCCGCGGTCGCATGGGAATTCTCTCCGATGACATCGTATCGCTATTAAGTAAAGGACGGGGACGACTTTCGTCGGAATGTCGAAAGTCGATCTCGGCTCTCGAAGGCCCAAAAGTGTCGAAATCTCCAAGCGGTTCGTCGAGGTCTCGCGAACGGAAGAGTGCTCGAAGTCGGGATCCTGAGTCTCTCTTGCACCTTCTCGATGAGAGCGAAAAATTTCCTCGACGTCGGGTGAGAAATTTTGAGAAATTTCGCGAAGATCTCGCTCGCCGTCGAACGATGAAAATGCTTCTTCTCTTCCGTCGTCGGATGGCAGAAGTTCCCTCGAGGATCCGGGATTCGAGGCACGGAATCGCGACGAACGCAGGAAAGGAGTGGAATCACACGGATGCCATTTCTATGTCGTTCGTATCGAGGTTAGAGAGACTCCCGGGAATTAGAGGCGATTGCACGACCGAAGAGAGAGAGAGAGAAAGAGAGAGAGAGAGAGAGAGGGAGGGACCGAAGACACCGGCTATGATTTTCGTGTGCGGCCGGCTAACTACCTAACATTTGAGACTCGATCGTTCGAGAGGCCCCACATGAACAGGGGGAAAGGGGGGGAGGGTGGGGGAGGGGTGGAGAGGGGTTATTTTTGGGGAACTCACTCCGTCTGCCTTCCATCTCGCGGGTAACGTCTCGAATGGCTCCCGACTGAGACTTTTTTTAAAGGACGACATTTAGCAAGACTCACTCCGTGCGACGGGATCGAAAACGCGCGAAGACGCGAAGCCGGAGAACGCGTTCCGCCGTTTTACCACCGCGGCGAACGGAAGAGGGGAGGAAAACGGACGGAAAGGAAAGACCCTCCTGCCATCTAGCGAAGACGACGCGCTCTACGTCCTAAGTCCTTCCTCCTCGATGCCGAAGATGTCGGGGGATACCGTGGCCTGCAGCCGTCGCCATTTCGTCGTTTCGTCTCGACCCAGAGGAAGTGAAAAGACGAAGCGGTGCTGGAGCTTTGGAACACCCGACCACCCGAGACGGTTCCATTAAGCCCGCATGATTTTATAATTACGATAATCATGATGCGTTTATGATAATAATATTATTATTATTATCCCCCGCGTAATGAGAAGATTTTGCTGTTATTTTCGAAAAATAGGAAGAACGATGAGAAAAGTGATGCAAAAGTAAATGGCGCGTTGCGTTCTTTTGCGGGATTAATAAAAAAAATCCATTTAAATTCATGAGATGGCAATATATGATAAGATCTCGAAGCCTTCATGCGAGTCTTTTTGAGTCGTTCGAGAGAAGTCATCCGAAAATTTCCTAAATTCACTTTCTCTCCGGCGTATCGCGCGGGTCCTTAGAACGTCCCGAGTCCTCGTCGAATGATAGAAGCACGAGCGACGATGGAAAAAAACGTTCCCGATCGAAATTAGCCTCCCCTCGTATCCCACGGCATGATTCAAACGCCCGACGGCAAATTCCATTCTACGGAGGACATCTTTTCGTTTTTATTCTTAAGACCGGCACGATTGCGCCTCCGCGTCGTTTCTCGAGTCGCCCGAGTCGAAAGAAATCGCATCCTCGGTAGCGACTCCGTGAATTTTTCTTCGTTTTCCCCCTCGCCGACTCGATTTAAAGCGGATCGCGTCGCCCTCGAGGAGAAGAAAAGACATCGGTGATCGCTCGTCGAAATCGAGAGCGAGACGAAACTCCCCGTTTCGCCCCACGACCGGGCATACGAGCGTTCGGACGAAGGGGCATCGAGTCGTGGAGGCATGGAGGCATGGCTGCGAGTTCGCTCCCATCCACACCCTCCAGATGATTATCTCGGAGAAACAATCCCGAAAGCAAGATTGCTTTGAGGCGAACACTTATCGTCGAAGGCATCCATCCATCTACCGGAACGCCCACGTTCCATCCAGATATCTTTTGGCCAGTGGCATGCTCACGATTTTCGGGCGTCGAGGGGTGTCGTCTGGGGCCGAAGCAACTCCCCCCCCGCCCCCCCTTTGCATACGCCGCTTATACTGTTGCAGACAGCCGAGTGAGAAATCATAGGGTATCTCGAAAGGATCCTCGTATTTCCGCAAAACCACGGAACGAGAGGAAGTAAAAGCTCTAAAACGAATTTTTAAAAAGCTCTAAGCAGTGGAACGTCGAAGAAGAACTCGCGACGGCCGGAGACGGCTTTCGCCACTTTCCGTCTGGATCGTTGGGGCATGCGAATCGCGGTGGAAGGAAAGGACGAGGAAGGGAAAAGCGAGGAAAGGAAGGGCCGGGTGAGGAAGGGAAGAGCGAGGAAGGGTTCGGGTTCGGTTGCGCGATGCACTCGACCGGGTCGTGACCCCTTTGACCCCTTTCCACGACCGAGGAGACGGGAAGAAGCGAGGAGCGAGCCCGCATCGAGAGCGAGGAGACGACCGAGCGAAAGGAGGGAAACGCGGGGACTCGAGGAGACGGAACGGAGCACGGCGGGAGCACGGGACTCGGAAACCCGGATGCGAACGAGACCGGCGTTTCATCAGGTCTCTCTCGTCGTTCGTCGTCTCTCTCGTCGCTCGTCGTCTCTCTCGTCGTTCGTCGTCTCTCTCGTCGCTCGTCGTCTCTCTCGTCGTTCGTCGTCTCTCTCGTCTGCGTTCGGGATCCGCTCTCTCCGCTCTCGCGGGAAACGCGGCCTCCTTCGACCTTCCTCTCGGACCCCTCGGGATCTCGTCTCGTCGGGAAGGAACGGTCCAGTGGATCGACGGAAGGTTTCGCGATCCCACGAATCGGTACGGATGGATTCCGAGGCGAAGGTCTCGTCCGGTAAACGAATGACTTTTTTCGGCTTCGGACCGGGGTCGGGTGACGACTCGTCGTCGTGACGCGTCGAACGGGTAACGGTAATCTTTCCATCTCGCGAGATGGAAAGATTAACGGCATTTCCTTCCTTTTCGATCGAATTCGTTACGGTCGGGATCGTTAGCGAAACGTTAGGAAACGAGGACTCCGTTCTCGTCGTTTCCATCCGTTTTTTTTTTTCGTCTGGACTACGGTGGCGATCGCGACCGTGTCGGCGGACGATGCATGGAGTCCTCTCGCCTCGAGAGGGAACGATCGTTCCCGGAGATCGTTTCCGTGCGCTAACTGGAGGAGAAAGATCCAGACGGAGAGTTTCACTCCCGACCACCAGATGTCCTCAAAGAACGGCCGAATTCGACGGTTCGGGGGCAGTTCTACTTTAGGTTTCGGCTCCCACCGCGAGAATCAGACGGAGCTTCGACGACCGATGCGCCCGGACGCGATCGTGGCTTCCCCGCTTTCGATCGGGTCGAGATTTCGTTCTTCTGCGTCCAAAACCCAACATCTGAGACGCATTAACTTTATTGGAGTCGGCTGCATCGAAAAAAAAAATAGTTTACGGAGCCGCATGTGACATTCGCAGATCCCCGAAGCGATCTGCAACCTGCAGCGTCGAAATAAAACTCATTTAGCCGATGATGTGAAAACGGCAGGAACGTCCCGTCTTAAAAAAAAAAAATATGGACTTTAAATCGTGATCCTCACTCGACAGACGTCGACGAGGGTTTGGATCTCCACTCGACGTTTCCCATCTTTCCTTCGCCGAATTCGGTCGGCACTCGTACGGTCGATCTCGAGGCGACGACCGAGATGCTCGACGGCCGCCGTCTTCGGAATCGTCGCGCTCTCTCGTTCCTCTCACCCGATGCAAATTCTCGACCGAATTCGCATCGCTCGAGTCGCCGAGCGATGCGAGCCGAGCGGCCGAGAGCATTTTCTTTTCGTTTCGGGTGGCCTCGTCGGGAGACTCTTCGAGCCGACCGTCGGCAGTCGACAGAACGTACGGAGAGACTTCGACTGGAATCGCCTTTCGAATCGGGAGTGATAAAGTCATCGGACCTGTGATATTCCTGGCACGGTTCCGTCGACCGCAGAAATAGGTCGAACGAGCAGTTCGTGCTCTCGACCGGCCGTACGCTCCTCGACGACACTCGCGTCGAGTCGACGAACGTCAAGAATCGAGCCTGAGCTTCGGTATCTTTTCCCATGTAGCCTTTTTCCGTCCGAAGCCCTTCGACGGCCTGGCATCTCCCAACGGTTTCGACGACGCACGTCGGAGGAGAGAATCCCATAGATGACTCGTGGAATTTGACAGAAACGCGTCCACGTCGGTCGGCACGGGATCTCAAAGGGTTAAGGGTATTTACACTACCCCTCACGGTGCCGATGAAATGTTGGAAGAATGAATCATCACGGTCACGGATTTGGCTATCATCACGAGCGAGGTGTATTCGAGTGGCCAAACGATATCATCCGTGAGAGTTTAGACTCTTAGAGGAAGGCCTAGAATGGCAAAATATACCGTGTTGGTCTCGAGTGATGAAGGGGGGGGAGGGGGGGGAGGGGGGGTGAAATAGGGGGGAGGGAAGGGGAGACCATCGGTGCTCTCGATCGTAGAAAGTGGGATATTTGGATGGGTTTCTCGACGCTCCGATGGGTTTCTGGCCGGAGTAAAGCACCTGTAAATAGCCCAGTACGTGGTTCGGAGACTCGGGAGTCGCTCGAACACGGCATCGGATTTCGTCCGAGCCGAACGGATCGCAAGAACCACCATCTCATCGCACACCGGGACGGATTTATTGGAAGGAAAATAGACGATCTTTCGGCGAGAAGAAGGCTTTGTACTCGGTGACGGGATCGAGCCCTGCGACCGGCTCCCGCGCGTCGGCCGACCCGTCGAAGGCAACGATGCGAAAGAGGTGGACCCTTTTCTCGAGTTCGATCGCTGCCGCCGGGAGGACGGCAGCCGGAAAGATTCAAGGGGATTCGCCGATCTCGTTCCCGCCGCCGTCGGTCGGAGGTTCTCGTTCGTCTTCCGGGTCCGGGTCGCGGTGGAGACCGGATGCGAATTCCGAGCCGAGTCGGAAGGCGTCGAGGTGCAAGCGTCGCAGATCGTCCCGTTGCCGCTCGCTCATCGACGGCCGCTCTCGATCCACCACGTCCTTCAACAGGTCCGGTCCCAGAGTCGTGTTCCCGACTTCGTCTCCTCCGCCTCCTTCTCCTTCGTCTTCTCCTCCTTCCGCCTCGCTCCCTCCTTCGACTTCCACCCTTTCGTCTCCGTCCGCGTCTTCCCCTTCCTCGTCTCGGTTTCGATCTCGGTCTCCCTTGGCGGGAGTCCGAAGGGCGACGTCGTTGTGCGAGGGATCGAGATCGTCCAGGTCGAAGGCGTTCAGGGGCGGCTCCGAGCACCCGGAGCACCCGCATCCGGTGATGATCTGCACCTTCCTCTCTTCCTTCTTCTTGTTTCCCTCCTCGCACTCCAGATACACCTGCGGGGAGAACGACACGGACGACACCTAGTACACGGTCTGCCGAAAATCGTCACGTCGTGAAATCCCGTAGAAATTTCTGAGATGGGCTCGGAAGGGAAACGAAAGGAAGCTCCCGTAAAGCGATCGCGGGCACGAGTCGTCCCACCTTCGACGAACTCTCGTTTTGGATTTATCTTCTCGCGATGCTCGACGATGTTCGCATCTCGACGGAAAAGAACACGAGCCTCCTTACGGATTTCCAGTAGTACTCGGAAGGCTGGCAGGAATCACAGTAGTGGAGGAGGTCGTCGGCCGGGCTCTTCGGGATCGTCTGAGGAACGGTGTAACTGAAACACGTTCCCACGCACACGTTGTTCTCCAGCTCCACGTTCCCGCATCCGGATCCCGTGACGATCTGCCGGATCGGCGTCAGCTTGCACCACGCGTGCTTCTCCGGGTACAACACGATGTTGTGCACCTGATTCGAAGGAATGAAATCGGTGAAACCACGGTTCGACTCTCGTCGCAGCAGCGTTCCGACGTTCGTTCTCGGATCTCGGAGAGAACCGGCCCTTTAAGCTAGGTTCACACCGACCGCATGGCATAGCATAGCACGAGTGCCCTCGTGCGATCAAAACCTGGGCTCTATGGTCTGTGCGAAGAGTTGAGCTGGATTCAACATGACGCACAAGGAACCCATGCTCAGCCAATCAGAGCAGAGATGTGTCGTCAAACTCATCATGGCGGTTTGCATGGAGGAACTCCTTATACACTGT